AACAAGTGGATTGGCTATGAGTTTGTGCACGTTCATTTCAGTTTTCCTCTGTTGTGATGATTGGTTTGCTTTTTCTTATTATGAGGGTTTCACACAGCAACAGGGGTGAGGGAAAATAGGAATCTAGTCTCAAAATGCAAAAACAGTCAGTGGGAGAGAAGACCAGACAGAGTCTCCAAAACTACCTTTTTAAAACTGATGAGACTGATTGCATCTCTAAAGCCTCACAAAACCCCAGCCAAAATAAGTAAGCATCACCATCCTCCTCCTCTTACAAGTGGAAAAATTGAGAATCAAAGATAAGAAGATTTTGCCAAAGTCAGCAAGAGAATTGGGCTTCAAACCCAGTTATCCCAGCTCAAATCATGGTCTCAGTCTCAATGTTCCACCTGGGTTGCAGCATCTCCCATGGGCAAGACAGACGTATATAATTTCTGCTCAGATTAGAACAACCATCCTCTCTTACTTACAGTATTCTGTAACATATCAACTACTTTTATGAGAAATAAAAAAGAAAAGTGCAATGGTCATTGTGAGGCAGACTGAAGCATTCACACATTTGTTATTTCAGCACCTGCAAAGCACAGCTTTTTTTTTTATTTTTACTGCAAATATAAAGGCTTGAGGGCAGAAAGTATGTGCTTGGGGTTTTCCTATATACCTGGTATCATACTTGACTTATATTAGCCCTGCTCAGTGTTACAAATTAAGTCACATAGGCTATAACCAGGCATTTAAAACCCTGAGGCGGAATCCATCTAAGCTGCATGATTTTCTGTAAGTGGTGTAGTTTAAAAATCAGTAGTGAACAGAATACAAATTTGCCCCTTGGTGGGAGGCGCAAATCTTAGACCAGGTTCTGCCATTTTTAAACCAGTCGATGTGCACCAACCTTCTGCTCCATTACAGGTATAAACCATTTTCCAATCACTTATACCAATAAAAGTGTAATATCTGTACCTGGCCATAGTTATTATCAAATGTCAGAAAATCATTATTATTCCCATACCCATTCTACAGTGATGTATACAACTGTACTGTGCCTTATGACTGGGCATCATATATTGACAGTCTGATCAGCCTCTGTGCCTTATTATTAAGAAGCAAATCCTCTTGGTCCTTGAAAGGCTGTGCGATGCTCTACATGCAGGACAGCAAGAGTGTTTCTACTTGTGCAGGGCACAGAAAGGCTGCGTACAGGCATTTGGGAAAGTTAGGGGACGGTTAGACCATGGTAAAAACAGCCACCCAATCTAACTTAATTCTCCCAGATGCAGACCTTGTGCTAGTTAAGTGGATCTATATGCGAACTGTACAGAAGTTCAGGACAGTTAGATCGGTTTAAAAGTGGCCAAGCCAATCTAAGTTAAATGCACCTCCAAGGTAGTCCAACTTAGATTTGTCTCGCTAGACCCAATCTAAGTGAACTTCTGTACAGTTCCCATTGCAGGCCACTGGCCCCAGCCCCAGGGCTGAGCTTTTCCTACCTGCTCCCTGGCACTGGGCTAGTTTTAGCCCTCTGGCCCTCCTCCCCTCCCCCCCCAATCCCACAAGCCATTCCCGGTGCCACTTTTATG